GGTGTTATCGTTTGATGATCTTAGGTTTCTCCCTGGTTTATATATACTGATAAGTTCTTGCAGATAAAAAGGAGCAGTTTTATTTACACATTTGAAACACATGGCGCAGATTATCAAAGGACTCACATAAATGGAAGTTGACAGTGTGAACTCAACTATTGAGAGATCACTTTGAAAAGCACGCATCGAGATCCCCCTAGACTACTTCCATTTCTTCAGGATGTCAAGAGCAACACCAGAAACTTATCAAAACAAATATTTGGATGACACATTCTTCAATGATTATTCTAAGTGTGGAAGCTACAACAAGTCTATCAGACCAGGCAGAAAAAACGGGTGATCCTGTTGTCAGGTCTTTGAAGTACATCCAAAGCATAAACATCCAGTTTAAATTGCACCTCAGTAATGAAAAGGCTGACGTTCCGAAGGCAGGACACAGAAACATGAGGTCCATCCTATCACACCACTCTACACAGAACATCTTAAGATCCAGCACTCCAAGTACAATCACCTACTGGAGCTTAAATCTGTTATTGCCAAAAGACATCATCACTTTATGACAATTTACACCTTTAATATAACTGTTAATTATGATTCAACATCTCTTGTGAAAACCACCTGTATTGCAACCGGATACCATATTGCAGAGATAAATTATTCATTTGTGATTTTTAATAAAACGGAAGTAACCAGATAAAATCTTGGCAAATTATATTGAACCAAATTGCACTAATCGCTAATCCCATTGAGGATTCAAGCCCAAATTCTGCAGGTAACACGCATTTGTTACTCCAAACTAATTGGTCTTGAAGAAATTGTAGCGTTTCAAAAAACAAAACGAAAACCCCACACAAAAAAACAGACGCATACTGCAACCAAATGAGCTGCGAGAAAACTCGCAACCCTCAAACTCTGTCCTGATGAAACCTCCCAACCCTCCCACCGGCTGACTACGCGGTTTCATCTCGACAAAAATATTGTAATGAAACCTAGCATCCCACGGCATAACAGTAGGAAAGTTATTTTTATGGACTAACCACGTTTCTAAGGTATTTTCATTCATCTGTACCAACTGTCGTTCATATAGATCTTTTTATTCAAGAGTAAATCAGTTTTTTGTCTCTCCTGTAAAAATTTTCTTTCTGGGGTTACGAGGTTTCATCACCCACTAGCGATAGGTCATATGCGCGCGCGCCAAGTGGTGATTGTCAACAGAAAAGTCCAAACGGAGAATCTGGCTTACTCGGCTCACCTCTCCAGCTTCAACTGCACAAAGTCTGCTTCGACTGTTAAGGCATCCCGGAAATATCAGGTCACAAGAGAGTGACAAACGTACAAAAGAAGCAGAGGAAAATGACGATAGTAAGGATGAGGAAAGAAAAAGCAGCAGTTCCCCCCTATGTTGTTCCGGCGCGGTATGAGCATGGCATTGATAAATGAGGCCACATACAACATTCTACTGTGCATGAGAACATGTTAATATCCCTCCTTTTGGAATGGTCTAAAGACAACTTCAGTCAGAAGCACTATCTTGGTTAGGGGAGGGAGGGGGGGGGGGCGCTACTGTTTACGATCGCTAGCTGACGTCACACGACTCTGTCATATGCCTACGTGATCAGTCCATGCTTTGATTTTATCTGTGAGTGGTTGGCGGGTGCTCTGGTGTGGTTTGGTGTGGTTTGCTTCTTCTTTCGTATCAAACATCTATCGTCCTTATCTCCCCTCCTTCTTTTTTATGTTTGTTATTCTCTTGTAACATCTCTAATCTTCTGGCGCTCTATGTCGTAAAACCTCTGCTAAAACTAAACTAAAACCTTTATGCCCCACTGACATTTTGCTCTCATCGAGCGAGGCGCAGTGAGGGCTTCTGGGATACAGGGGGACACGCGTGTGGTCAAACTGTGAGCGTTCGGGGTTCGAAACCCGGAGGTACAGCTCGATGTTTTGTCTCTGTCCTTCTATAGGCTACACCAGTGCTGGCAAAATGAGTTACTTCTCAGATCCAAGCCTTACATACGCTACATCGTGCTTATAGGTGAAGTTTTTTTTCTACAATTCATATAAATACGAAATAATAAAAGGCATGTTATACTTAAAGAATAAATGACATCAGTAGAAAAATCTTAAAATTTGACCCTGGTGTCGATTTTTGGCCAATTTGTGGATGGAGAGAAGTAACTCATTTTGTCTGGACGCCCCACACATTTTACAAGAATTTCCCCCACTTCACCCAGGTGGGAACAGGTACCCGGCTATAGCAGATGGAGAAAGATCTTGTCAAATTGTTATTATTTTAGCGCTTATATAACATGTTATCAGCTTGCACTGTATGCTTCATAGGAAACTGAAATTGTTTCAAACTGTTATCAGGTCTGCTGATGTAATCCATGCTACATATAATCCTCATATTATTGTTATTAGGCCGGCTCTATTTCTCCGAATGTTTCACTTCTCAATATTTCTTGGTTATTGGTGAATGGAGTGTGTGTGTGTGTGTGTGTGTGTGTGTGTATGTGTGTGTCTTTGTGTGTGTGTGTGTGTGTGTGTGCATATGTGTCTGTTTGTGTGTGTGTGTGTGTGTTTGTGTCTGTTTGTGTGTGTGTGTGTGCGTATGTGTCTGTTTGTGTGTGTGTGTGTGTGTGTGTGCGCGTATGTGTGTGTGTGTG